TTACCTTGTTTCCCTACTGGTGGACACATCCATTTCAAAACACTTGTTTTGCTTGCCTGCAGCGGCCTCCACCACTTTGCCACAGTCTATTTCCAGAGTTTCTTCTGTCCCTCTACGGCCTCCTGACCTCTCCTGTCCTCCTCTGTGCTGCCTTGCCTCCAGTGCTCATTCACTCTCATCCCTGGATCCAAGCAGTGAAATGAACTACCCATTGAAATCACATCTGCTCAGTCGCTGACCACCTTTCAGTGTCTCCTCAAGACTCATCAGTTTGTACAGCAGCTGGGATCTCTTTTACACTACTGTGAACTTTAACCACCAACTTATTGTGCACTCTTCTCAATGGCAATCCTTCTATTCTATAATAACTGAATCCTCACCTATATGTTGTTTACTGCTCAATGGAAACTAGCACTTCTAACATGTGCCTGCCTCAAGTATCTTTATATACTGTCTTATATACTTTATGTCAGTCTGAATAAGAATGTTTTATACGAAAAGTAATATTCACTACTTTTTTTTTATCCCGACGTCTGTATTAGTATTAATCTTGGTTCTACTTCACAGGTAGTTTTATTATATTTGAAATAATAGAATAGAGACTTAAAAGAAACAGTGACATGTAGTGCTGAATTAAATACTACTACTCACAATAACTAGAGATTTAATCATCTTGAGTTGTTTCCAATAAATAGTGTCAGTCACTGTGAAATTTTCCTGTACGACATACACAGTGGTAAAGATTAAATTTTATATTATATTTTCAGCTAAGCTTTATAGAAAAGAGTGAAAAGGAAAATGGCACTAACGTTATTCACAATGCATGTTTCTTCTGAGTCTTTTCAAGATTATATTAAAGTCAGCCATACTACATCCCTGCAATAATTCAAATCATAGACTTATAATGACTAGCTGAAGAATTTATGTAGAATTTATAATACACTGTAGCAATCATGAAATAGCCTGAGAGTTAATCCTAGATTCCATCACTTTTATTCATCTCCCACTTATACCTTGTCAGGCTGCAATGTTTTTTTCCTGAAGTAAAACCATCAGACCTTCCTCTTTATAAAAATGACCAAGGTAGGCAGCAATAGGAAGTAGTGTTTAGGGTTCAATACTCATGAAAAAAGTTTGTTGGTTCAAAACCTAGGTGGAACACTGATATTGTATCCTTAAAGAAGGTACTTGAATGAAATACTTACAGTACAATATCCAGCTGTAACAATGAGTACAAAAGAAATCGCTTTAAATAAAAGCATTAGCCTAATGAATCAAACATTTACAAGGGTCAAAGAGAAATTTAGTATTTCATCCTGCTTCATAAAATATGTTAGTTCATTTCTGTTGTCATAAAAAACTGAAACCTTTACCAATAATAAATGCTTTGTGATTAAGGCTTCTAATTAAAAAGTTAAAATAAAAGTGACCATTTCCACCCCCAATACCAACTGTATCTGTAAGTAATAACAAAACCGCAATGACTGAGAGCATTGTAAATTACTTCAGCTGCAATGCCAATACAATCTTCCAGAACAAGCAAAAACAATTACATTTTAACTCCAAGAAGAACAATGGATCTTTTCATTCAGTGATTCAGATAAAAATAGTAGAGGGTTTTAATGTGTCTGGTGCAGTAAAAAAACAATGCACTATAGATGGCACGTTCCATGTAACTCAATTAACCCTGCCATGCACATTCAAAGTTCAGACTCTGGTCAGGAAATGGTTTTGACCCTACCAACAGACAGGAACAGAAGTAGAAGAAGCCTTCAAATTAACAACAACAAATAAAATCTAAAGGTTTATTAATCCTATCCTTCTCATTAGATAGGTGTTTGCTACATTAGGCCTAAGTGGAAGTCCAAAAGTGAAGGCTGCACTAAAAAAAGCAACTACTATGTGATAAACCTCCTCAGGTATTTGCTCATTTGCCAGGAAGAGCTGAAAAAAATGTTTAACATATTGTGTTTCTGACTCACATTCTGTTGTTATGACTTTTGAAAATTAAGACTAAATGCCTGTTGAAAATAAGACATTTTTTCTGATTACCTCAAAACGCAGTTAAGCAGTCTTACAAATCCTGTAAAAAATACATTAACTCACAAATCTGTAGCTGTGCAGACAAGCATGAAAGGCTGTGGAGCAGTGTGAAAGCAAGGGAATCATGCAAAGGCAAACTCAATAAGCTTTCAAAAATTGTTGAGGCTTTACCTAATGTGCTACAGCTATCAATTGAACTATATTTTACTGTTGCCATTTCCCAAAATCAAGAATATGAGGGAGAGTTGGCTTTTTATCAACTGAAGAATATAGCTAGTCTGTTTTACTGTATCTGGATTATAAAATGGCTGTCAATAACAAAGATTAACTTTCAACTCATGAACACTGCCAACAGGTATACTTCCTCTGATGTTCAGCTCAGAAAACCTGCCAACAATATGCCTTGTCCTTGGTCGTCTCTTCCATTTCCTTTAACTCCTGTCAAGTTTTGGCTGGTTGCCATGGAAATCCAACCACAGCCAAATATAGGGAGAAATCTGATCATATTGAAAAACAAAATTACTACTTCTGGCACATTACAAAAATATACACAATTGCGATGGGAAGAATTAACCATGGAACTACACAATGAAGCAAAATGAGTTGATTTCTTAAAGAATTCCAGAAAGAAAACTTACCATTAACTTAAAATTTAAAGGTCATTATAGGATTACACTGCATTTTTACTATACTTAGAATGCCAACAGAATCAATTCATAAGAGAGATTCCTGAATCCTTCTCACAGTATGTGCTCCTGTGCTGCCACAGAATGTTATAAGGTAAAATGTTGCAAGCTTAAACAGCAGCCTAAAATGGATGCTCTGGATGCACAGGTAATATCTGTATATTGTACCTTATTAGTGTCACTTAGGTTATCAACAAATACACTTTACTATTATTTCAGCAACTGGCAGCAGCTATAAATAACTAAGCTTCTAATCCAGTATTACTATCACTTTCACCATTTCTAACTGTGCTGACAGTATATTCCTTTATTTATAATTGCTGAAACCTTTATGTTGAAAATTATTTGACTGAAAGGGAAAAGAAAATGTAGGGTTTGGTCTTCTTTTCTAATGACAAATGGATTGGAACCTGTACTTATTTATCAAAACAGATTACTAAAGTGAAATAAAAATTAATGGACATTAATAAAGGGCTGCTTTTCATAACTGCTCTCCCAGAAATAACTACATTGAGAAGATTGCAAAAGTCAAATTTCCAGTGTTGGAAAAGTCTTAATTGTCCCTATAAGTAAACATTAAGCTCACCACCCACTGCAGAGAAAATAAGTAAAATGAACAATTATCAAGTTTATGCAGAGGGAAATTTTTGCAATAAAACTCATATTTTAGTCCTGTACATTTGTATTAGTAACGAAGTAATTGCTCTAGTATTTCAGACTGTCTTTAGTTCACAGAAAAGATGTTCTTGTTACATTACTCATAAAGTTGTAAAAGCTGAAATACTTTTTCAGCTTTTACAATTATTAGTCCCAGAATACCATCTGGGACTAATAATTGTATTGAATAAAGAATAAAACTATCTAGGCTGTACTATTTTTCGTGTGACAATATTTTTTAGAAAACTATAAATGCAAACTCCTATAACTGCATTACACAGCAACATTTACAGTACATGGTGTTGGACTTGCTTATGGTCCTAAAAGGCTGAGGTGAAATTATTGCTTAGTAAATACTGTGAAACCTAGCTGGAAGAAGACTATTGAAAGGAGAGTAAAAGTGGACAGATCAGGTTTGTACACAGCTGTACAGCTGTGTAGAGCTAAGAGTTCAGGTGGAAAATGGCAGCAAAGTTTCAGAAATGATCAGCGGTTTTTAGGATCTCATGGAAAACAACATCAAACTTGGGGTTTTGAAAAGTAAATGTCTTTTAAAATATGGGATGTTAAAGATGAGGTAGCTGTACTTATGTACACCTAAGAGACTAAGACACCTATTCTTTCTTCATCTGTTGTGCAGGACAACAAAAACTTGGGTGTCTTAATTCTATCATTCAAACTTAAGCAGCCTAAAGAGAAGTGAATGATCCAGTTCTCAAAGTAAGATATGTTTCCAAAATAGGTTGTCTTGAAGAAAAACAGCTACCAGTTGACATTTCAAAGAAGATTTTGATGGAAATGTACAGTACAAATACTTATTTCACTACCGCCCTATAGCACTGCATTTTTTGAAAATCTGATGTTTAACATACTAAGAAACATGTTACACAGGACATCATCCATCATTGAGCACAACTTCATGAACTTCACTCACACACTGGGTTTCACATTTAATATCCTCACAAAATTTACAAATGCTGTGATTTTCTTTTATTCCCACAGCCTTCAGTTGTTGTACTGATGTGAGATTATTAAAAGAAAAATTAGATACTATAATCCATTTGTTACACACAAGAAGTTTTTAAAGGTCTCCAGCCTCCAGAAAAATATTAAACAGTGAGGCCACCTCCTTGTCTGTCTACAGTAAACATTTTCAGAAATGCAGCCAAATGTAATTTGATTATAAAGCACACATTATCAAAAGTTACATCAGTGAAATATTAGCGGTAGAAATGTCACTGGGTTGATGGATCCCTGTGTTTTTTAAAGTATGATCATTGAATACATTTGTAAATTATCCTTCATATTCATATTTTACACTTGGAAGAAAGGGGTTTCAAGATTGGACTGACATATTTCAGTAATTATTCAAGATGAAACTAATTTTCCTCAAATCATTTTCAGACGTAATGACAAGAATATATGAAAACAATGTAAGTACAGTACATACATTATCATTTTGGACAAGGTTTTGGTTTACAAACATGCATTAATATACTTTTGATCATTTTCAGACAATGCTATCCCTAAATACAGTCATCAAGGTGAAAAATAAGGTGAAACAAACCATAGCTTTTGTTTAATTTAAGATGTAGAAAACCTAAGTAAACTCACATCACATTCTGTGGACCCATGCTCAGATTGCATGATCATCTCCAATCTTTAAATGAAAAAAGACATATGGTTACCCTGAAAATCAGAAGACAGCCATTTTATGATTAGTTTACTTTAATAACATCTTTACGTTTTATACACCTTACTACACCACAACAATCTTATACACTCACCTAGACAAAATACTCTTACATACTTTCTTCACCTTTGTGAGAGCACAAGTGACAGTACTACTGCATTTCAACATCTACCTAAGGCTACTACAATTAAGCCTTACATACAGTATCACTAAAATGTAATGTAAATGTAAAATGTAACCCCTGAATACAGAATACTGACAAAACTTTAGTCTGCCTACTGCACATGCATGTGAGAAAGAGCAAGGCTGTTAAAATCCATGATCCAGTGGCTTTTACACTTTGGGGAGGTTTTGTTTCCTCTGGATGAGCTTAAAATATTTCTCAAAATTATTTATTAAGAAGTGCAATAACAACTTTGTATTCTGAAAACTGAAACAAAACTGTTTTCTTTGTGGATCTGGAGCTTGACATCACACTAGCAAAAAAGTGATAATGGGTTCAGTTGCTGATTTTTGTAAAGGTTGTAGTGGTGATTCATTATGGTTTATCTTGACAAACGTCATAGATGAAAATTACCCTCCCACCTCTTACACAGGCATTTAGTCAAACGAGGATAACAAGACTGTTTCGAAGAAGAAATTTAGACTTGATATGTTTAATATATTCAGCGCTATTTATCTTAGAAATATTAGCTTCCTGCATGTTAACACACAACGATTTACATGGGAACTTTTGATGCTTGTGCTAGACAGCGTTTATGAAGGCCTTTTGACCGTAATGCTGCAGAATGACCGCTCTTGGCATTCAAGCCATATCAGGTGATAAAAATTTCAGGAAATGTCTGACAAAAAGAAAAAATCCACTACAAGCCCCTGAATTACGAAAAGGACATTTAAACACTGAAGCTACAGGCCAGAGGATTCTGGTGAAAACCTACATAAAGATCAATAGTCGTGTCCTTGCTAAACCACCCTCACTATGCGAGACTGCAGCAGCAAATGCAGTACTCAGCAATCAAAGGGGATTCCCTATACACAGGAACTGAGTCAATATAAAACCTTTTTTATCAGCTTAGTTTCAGAGTAAGTTATCATCTATTTAATGCCCTCTAATGTATACGCATTTTCATCAGCCAGACATGATTTAATAAAACGTGCACGATGTTTATAATTTTTTTAGCTTCACTAGTAGATAATGCTTGATGCCTTTTCGTGGAGCTTGTAGTCAAGTTTGATGCGCGAACATACCAGTTTTTAGCGGGTTTTGCAGCGCCTTGTGTCCTTTGCTTACTTAACCAAAGGACGTCTAGTTCGTTTCGCACTTTGCTCCCTTTCCCCCCCAACTACTTACTCTTCGCGGGAAACTTTTTCATAATAGCTCAACATTACATCCATATACAATTTTGTTACGAAAGTAGTTTTACTTAGCTCATTATGATTTTAGAAAACGCAATACCTTTAATTCCACAACAGTTCTGTGCGTGAAACAAATATTATAGAAGGGATTGCAACATATAATGACACTAAAACTTAATCTCGTACTTTCTTTCGTTGCACATATGTATGTAACTGGTATTAGATCTTCAGTTGTCTTCCAAGTAAACTCCCTAAACCCAGAAATATTTTCTCATCCTTTAACTGCATTCTGAAGACTCCAGTCCCTATAGTTATTAGCTTCATTTCACCTTGTAACTGTTTTCTCAAAACCCCGCAATGGAATTGTTTGAAAAAAAATAATCTTATAATAGGTGAATGTATAGAGAAGTGTGTATTAATAACAGTAAGTTTAAGTTCAAAACCTCGGTAATACAGACAACAAAACGACAGCTCACCAAGAGCTATCGAGGTCGAGTGTCTCTCAAAAGAAAGGTCCGACAACGTTAGGAACCTAAACTTTAAACAATATTATTTTAGACTGTTAAACATTTTGTAAATTATAGTAAACGTAATCAGAAAGCGTATAAAACAGTATATATGCGGCTACAAATTCGCAGCATGTAGCTAAAAAGTTACCATTTGTCTCTTCTTTGAAGGGCATTTCATGAAGCATGCAGATTACGTACAGTATATGGAACTTGCACACTATTATTAAACTCCTAATTGCTAAATAATACAGCGGTTAAGTATATTACAACAATTTGTAGTAACACGTTAAAAAACTAAGACTTAAGTTACTTACTAACCCATATCCAATTTTGTATTATTTTCTCGAATCTTCTTTTTTCCGATTTTGTGTGTTATTTAAAATCCATTTACACGTACACCGGCTGCAATGACATCCTCCCGGCGATCTGTCAAACAGAGCGAGGCTTTAAAAAGAAAAAAAGAGGGGAAAATGGCGTCTGATGAAGGCTGAGTTAATAAGAAAATGTAGAAATTAAAAAGGGTTTGATTATCAAATCAATATGTTCGATAAGATCCGTTGCTCAAAATCGATGAATTTCCCAGCTCCGCTTTAAAGAACGCAAAGGTAACAGCCGTAGCTTAGTTGCAGAAAATATCCACTTGATTTGCTTAATGTTGCTGGTCAATCAGAAACCTCCATAGCTTCCCTCTCAAATCCTAGACCTGGAGTGAAAAAAAAAATCAAGCTGATTTTTGCTGCAGCGAAAAAAGAAAGCAAAACGCGTATCCTTATTAAATCCGGAATCCCACTTGAGGTGTAGTGACGCTAGTTTGCAGACATGGGAAAGGCGGTTGTGAATGATCAGAAGAAGGTGTTTTTTCAGTGATTTTCCCCCTTGGCTGTGTTCAATCAGAGTTGTGAGTATTTGCCTCGCTCCATCTCGCTCTCTCTCTGACTAGTCCTGCAGCAGTTTCTGATAATGATCTCACACACATGCACAGAGCACGGCTATGAGCTCCAGAGGCTTGAATACTCACTGCCGCCTCTACCTGTCAGTCGAGGAGAAACACCTCGCTTTTCACAGTTGACTGTAGTATCCCCTTTTCGTCCCATATCGTATTAAACAACACCGTTGTAATGTCTGCATTCCCATCGGTGACATCATTTTACATTTCGCAAACATAAATTAAAAGATAACTGAGGCAAATTAAGAAACCTGGCATCTGTCATTCAGATAATAATTAAAATTAATCCATACACACGTGAGAAAAATACAGTAAATGTTGTGTTGTAGAAACTGTATAAGGGAACATAATTCGCATCTTTTTCTTTGAAAATTGGTCAAACTTATCTAATTCGTTGTGCAGTCCACAGCTGTTCATCATTGAAAATAACACTAGTTTTTTTTTTGCTTAAGTGTCAGGAAAGTGAAATGAGAAAATTCCTAAGATGTTTACTGAACCCTGGTAATCCTTTATTAATTTTAATTAATTGTTTTATTGATTTTCTTATTAGATGAGCTAGGAAGTCATTTTTATGAATCTCTGTGACTGAATATAGCTCCAATTTTAAGAAATGTGTATCATATGTAGGAAATGCTCACGTTTTAACCCTGGAAAACCATGCATCTTTGGAAAAACCTTACCAGTTTTCCGTTTCTTTTTTGCAAAACTGGGGAAATCTCCCTCTTTAATAACTGGTAATGCTAATTGTAGGTGTTTCCAGCAGCTTGAATTACATCAAAGTTTATCTATACTGGTAATGGTTTTGTTACATATCACATATTCACCTGCCAAACACTGAAACATTGTTACAGATGTTTTTGTTGGATAAACAATTTCACAGTTGGAATTACTTTCCTCAATTTATTCATTTTTAAGTACCATACAAATTGTCAATGTCTTGAGACCAAATTGGTCTCTTGATATTTACAGTGTCAAAATTGTTTAGTTATCAGTGAATAAATGCATACATCAATTGAAAAAAATAATTTTGAGTATTTATTTTGTCATATTACTTCACAGATAAGTGCATTAAATAAAAATAAATTACATTGTGAGCACTTAATATTTGTTTCATTACATCAACAACTGAAATATGTGTCATGGTATCACCATCTGCACACCTCTCTTTTCAAGTGCGCAGCTTGTAAAATCTGTTCTACCAGAAAATATGTGGTTCTGTCATAAGTTTTCTGCTGAGTAACAGTGCCTGAGACAACCACAGAGCATCCTGGAAGAATGCACTCTTTTTATAATCTCTGAAATGTAAAGTAACATAGCCTGTATGAATGGCCTAGTAACTACAATATGATATATCACATACAGTTCACTTTTAAGTATTGTAATCAAGATTTTGAAGACTCTGTTCAATTTAGATTAAATATTTTCAAATGACAAGCTTGGTTACTTCTCACTGAAACTAAAGTGTATTGATAACAAACAGAGTTGTTATAATAGGAGACTTTGAATTGATGCTCACTTTGTATTTACAGTATATTGTAACTCCAGACTGATACCAATAATATAGCACATTTCATCCCAAGCGATCCCACCCGTTCCGTCCCGCAGCACCTGGGGTGCGAACCCGGGTCTCTGGCATAATGCAACAGGGAACCAACCAAGTGAGCTAAAGGAGACCTCCCTCAGCCCAGGCAGCTGAGGTCCCTGCTACACGCAGTGAGGGCGGTGACGTCACCGTTTCCGAACAAGCTCCGCTACACCCTCCCATGCTGAACTTTGCCTCGGCGAAGGACACTCCACGCTTCCGCCAGAGTCACAGCACCAATCTGACTGTCGTGGTTCCTCGCGGTGTCGTGCCCCCCGCCGCCCGTTCCGTCCTGCAGCTCCTGGGGCACGAACCCGGGTCTCCGGCATAATGTAACAGGGCACCAACCACATGAGCTAAAGGAGACCTCTTTCAGCCCAGGCGACTGAGGTCCCTGCTACGCGCAGGGAGGGCGCTGACGTCACCGTATCCGAACTACTGTAGCTCCGCTACAGCGGCTGACTCCGCTACAGCCATTTCACCTTGCTGACATGTGGCAGCCATTAAACACAGCAGACCAGGTGGAGACGTGAGAAATTATGTCATCATTTTAATTAAGGATGAACTGTAGGTAGGCCGGGATGGTGTAGTGTAGTGCATAAGCAAGTTGTCGGTTTAAGACCCCACTATAGGCAGTGTCCTACTCTTAAATTAATTACTTTATCCTGGTTTCTTCAGTCCACTAGCTATACTAGCGGGGATCAACAATTCTGGGGCATATTCCATGTGATGGATTGCTGTCCCATCCAGAGAGGGAATAACATGCTTAATGCTGCAGAAAACCAGTATAAGCTCTGGTGTAAACTCTGGGAATGGAATTTAGTCAGAACAGTGAAGTCAAAACTCCTACTCTTATGAACAACATGTGATAGAGTTTATATTTTAGACTGGAAGAAGCACTTTTAGAGTCCCTAGGAAGCTTCTGTAGAAGGTCACAATTTTAGCTTAAACTCCTCTCATCATTCATCTTGGATCAAAAAATGGCTACTGAGAGGTGAAGTAATTGGAAGCAGGTGTGTGCAGTTAACTTTGTAGTTCCAAGGAGAAGATACAGGATGCCAAAATGTCTGAGAATCAGGGAAAAAGAGTCTCTCCTACTGGTTGCTCCTGCACCATGTGAGAGGGACAAATGGAGAAGGACTCTGTGTTTAGTAGTGTTCTGCCAGTGGGCTGTGGTTTGAACAAGCTAAGAGCCCTGTGAGATTCAACAAATGGCTCTGTAGCCTGAGAAAATCCAGAAGCCATACTGAGGGGTGCTACAAATGACTGAAAGGGTAGAACTACCAATGAGAGCAAAAGAAAGAAGATCTCTTTTGAAGAAGAGAGGAGACCTAGCCAGAAGACCTGAAAGGAAGGAATTGGGATACCTAGGAGCTGGTGAATTTTTAATGAACAAGAAGTCAAGCAGTCACAATCACTGGTTTAATGCAGGGCTTGTCAATCCTTTTCTTGACGGTCCAGTGTGTTTGTAGATTTTAAGCTGCTCTTAGCACTTGATGCCCTGGTGGAACTTGAAAACCCCACAACTAGAAAGTGTCTATTAACGATTTAAAGTGATCACTAATGTTAGAGTGCAGAATCAAGGTTTCATCATGTTTCAGAGCTGAAAACAGTCAAACAGTTCTAAATAGTCCTACAATCAAGTCAACTAAGAGTTAAGTTGTGTAAGTGCTGTGTGGGTCTCCCGGACCAGGGGATACATCACCTAAAGTACCATCAACTTTCAACAATCCCTGTTACTTGTTCCAAATTTCATTGGTCCACAATACACACTATTCACAATACAGCTGTTTAAAATAGGTCAACTAAATTTAGAAGTCTAATGCATGTAAATGTGAAAAACAGAAAACCTGTCCTGATTTGGCCTTTTAAAGTATAACTAACCCCACTTGAATGGTTGCCTTAGTAAATATATGTATTTTTCCAATCTTTCCAGGTTTCTACCCTGATTGTACCACTTGATGTTCTATTGTCAAGGTTTCCAATTCTTTCATGCTTTACTTTAATCTGTCTAGGTTTTACCACATTACTACTCTTGTGCATATAGATGTATCATTACAGTAGAACCAACCAGCCCAGGTGCAGTATATGTTTTCTTTGACCTCTATGGCCTAGTTTTTTATGTAAAAAAGTGCTTATACATTGAAAGCCACTTTTCACATCTCACTCGTGGGGAGACTAACTGAAGTGTCTACCTCAGTCCTGTGCCCTAATGTCATTGCTCAATTAAAATCTTCCTGTCCTCCTCTTTGAAGCCCAGATAAAAAGTTCATATACTTTGTTCTACTAATGGGTCTTTCAAAAGGTTAAATGTTCACCTGCCCTGAAACCACAGCTTCAGTCATATGAAGAACGATTGTATGTAGAAGGGTGGGTCATGTTTAAAACCAATCATGTTATTTGTCTCTTCATTGCTGAATAACTGAAAAAAATAAACAAGAAGTATATTTAGTAATGCCTCTTTATATTCTGAAGTTAAGTATTGGTATCCTTTAGAATATGTACTTCTTCCTTTGATTTTGTTTTACTTTTTAATTCTTTCAGAAATCCATTATATTAGTTTTAGACGAAATGGTGGTTCTCCATTTTACATTTGTCTTGATATGAATAATTTATTGTTTTGTTTTTATTAATTGTGCTTTGCAGTTCAGTAACTCATTTTTCCTTATAGTGCCCAACTTGCACAGCATTTCCTATAGCACAGTTCAAAACTGATTAATAGCACCACTTGGATTCCTGACTTTAAATGTGCTTCCTTTCGGTACAGCCTTACTCTAAATAGTGACCTGAAACCTTTGATGCTGTATGTTAAGATGTACGAGTTCCATTTGTTTTTGTATAAATAATAGCCTATGAAGCATCCATCACCTTTGATCTCAGTGTCTTGGTTATTAGATAATAGTAAATCAAGATAAACTTCACCTCTTGAGGGTTTCTGGACTAATGAGTTATAAAGCAATCATAAAACATTGTGTCATTCCAGTTTCATCTGCAGAATTCATGAATGGGCTTCATCAGCCTGCTGCAGGAAAGTTTACTCTTTATTACTTTTTCAGTCTTGTTACAAATATTACTGAATTTGTTATCATAACAATATTGTTTCTTTCCAACTTGTTAGTGGTCTATAGATCTCATCTCTTAATTTCAATTGAATTTTCAGCATTTCAAAAACATTTGATACTTACAAACACATTTTCTAAGTATTTTTTACCATAAAACCTATCCAGCCTCCATCTGTGCATCCTTGAGGCTAACATTCAATTTCTGAAAAATTATGTGCCACTTCATAAAATGTGAATTTCATCATTGACCGTGTTTGCGTAGCCTCAGTTGCATACAATATTAACAAATTCTACAATTTCAAGTTCTTGTGAGAATGTTTAAGGATTTGTTCGCCTTCAACAGCCTTTTCCAGGCAATGATGTTTTGGTAGATGAA